ATTGGTGGATAAGGTTAAATACGTATTGGGTAAATTAAAAGTTCAACAAGTACAAGGTTATAAACGTTTATTGGAGGAATTGGGAATGGTTGGTGATGTTTCGTTTGGAAATTCGTTGAATCCTGGCGGTCCTACGCAATTGGGTATGGCTCCACAAGGAGTATTTCCAGGCCAAATGACTGATATAGCAGCAGCAGCTGCATATTATGCAGCAGCACAAGCAGCTTTTGCAAATCAACAAATGCAACAAGCTAGTAATAACGCATCGCCAATTGAAAATAATAGTAATAATTCTGCACAAAATGATCAATTCAATTCTCAACAACAATTATTATTATCACCTTCAAGTGAAGGTACAGCACCTACTCAAAGTTCCACTTCTTTAGCTACAACACCTTCAACAAATTATCCACCACCAACATCAGCAGCACCAGTTTTCATGAACAATGTTCCACTATCGCCTCATCATCAACCACACCCACAGTTTCCGCCCACATCACCATATACTCATATGGCCCCATTTCCACCCTTTATTCATCCAACAGCTTTGGCAGCAGTAGCAGCAGGCATGTATGGACATTCAGCAATGTTTAACCCTGCATATCCTTATATTATTGCCGCTGGTGGAATGCCTCCACCAATGATAAATTCAGCCCCTCCTACTCCAAATGGTGCTCCAAATCCAATATTGTCATTCACACCACCACCACCACCACTTACACCGCAACTTCAACAACAAGTATTACAACATCATCATCAACAACAATCTCCTCAATTATCACAATCACAACCACAAGAGCAATTACAAGACCAATCATCATCATCGCCATCTTCTTCTTCTTCACCTTTACCACAACAAGAGCAAGAACAATTGTCATCATCATCAACTTCTCCACCACAGTCGCAACAAGAATTAAATAGTGATATGCGAGCGCAATCATCACCAAAAGAATCCGGTACCGAATTATTAGAAGGAACTAGCAATGAATAATTACTATAATTATTTATCTCTTTATATTTATATATTTAACTTTATATTTATATATTTAAACTTTAGTTAAT